GTACGGTTTTCTGTATTTTTCTTTTGGGGTGTATGTGTGGGTGGGTGTTTGTGTGTTTGGGGGTGTGTTGGGGTGTATGTGTGGGTGGGTGTTTGTGTGTTTGGCGGTGTGTTGGGGTGTATGTGTGGGTGGGTGTTTGTGTGTTTGGGGGTGTGTTGGGGTGTATGTGTGGGTGGGTGTTTGTGTGTTTGGGGGTGTGTTGGGGTTGTTTGTGTGGGGGGGGGAAGTGTGGGGGGATGGGGTGGAGGGGGTAGGGAGGGAGGGAGAGAGAGAGAGAGAGAGAGAGAGAGAGAGAGAGAGAGAGAGAGAGAGAGAGAGAGAGAGAGAGAGAGAGAGAGAGAGAGAGAGAGAGAGAGAGAGAGAGACCGTAAACTCCTCTCATTCTCACATACGTCTTGGAAGATTCTTAAAAGGCTGGCCGAAATTATATGGAGGCCGTCTTTTGTACGAATTATTCTTTTTTTTCCAAAAATTTCATTTAAAATGCCAGGGTTACATGTACCTGATACATATTATATATTGACATAATCTTCCCTATTTGTGCGGTAGCGAGACATCATTAATCTATTCTTCTTCTCCTCTGCCTCCTATCCGTTCTCTTCCACCTCCTCCTTCTGCTCTTCCTTTTCGTCCACGTCGTTCATCTCCTCTCCCTCTTCCTCGCAAGTTTAATAAGTCAGGAGATAATTGCACAAGTTGCCTGACAGGTTTCTCGGCGCTGATTTACAAATGTATTATATTCAAAAGATGGGAAGTCTTTGTAATGTATCCCACGTTATAGTAAGCAGCAGCAGCCTCGTGGAATATCGGGCCCGGCGGTACAGAGACTCTGGCCCCTCACTTTGGTCATATTCAGCTAAAACACGTTGACCAGACCACACATTAGAAGGTGAAGGGACGACGACGTTTCAATTCTCAAGTCAATCGACTTGAGAATGGTCCAGGACGGACCGAAACGTCGTCGTCCCTTCACCTTCTAGTGTGTGGTCTGGTCAACATACTTTAGCCACGTTATTGTGACTCATCGCCTGCATAGCTAAAACACAATACATTTGTTCCTTCCAGCATATTGGAACTGTCTACGACAGCTTCGATTGACTTACTAATATTCCAGCAATTGGACCAGTTAGTTTCACTTAGCATAGTTTAGGACACTAGTGAATACCTTGTTATGGCCGGGAGTTTTAGATCGTTTTAGCCTCACAGTATTAATAATGCGAGCGCTTTGTCATGGGTTCGTATCCTGGCCGGGGAGGATTTACTGGGCGCAAATCCTTAACTGTAGCCTTTGTTTAACTCAACAGTAAAATGTGTACTTGGTTGTAACAACGATTCTTCGCGGCGGGGATCGTATTCCAGGGACCTGCCCGAAACGCTACGCGTAATAGTGGCTGTACAAGAATGTAACAACTCTTGTATATATCTCAAAAAAAAGTCTTCTTGTTGATCAACATCTAAGTAAAATGCTTCAACGCTGGGGACAATTGTGTGGTAATACTTTGTGAAGACAGACATGAAGTATTGTTGTTGTTGTTTAAGATTCGCTACCTGGAACAAAAAGTTCCAAGTAGCACAGGCTATGGTGAGCCCGTAGTGGACTGTGACATGAAGTATTTGTCCAGTATAGTGTTCAGTTCCTCCTCCCTGTCATATACTTGGTCGGAGAGTGACTGGTTCCCAGCAGTCCTGTCTTTTCCACTTCCTTTCCTTGAAACAGCTGAAAAATCTTTTAGGGCTGAACTCGGTATCTTCTTTTATCTTAACACTGAATTTCATTCGAATTATTTATTTATTTATTTCTTGACCAGTCTTTATAATCTTTCGTATAATGTGATCCATTAGGTGAGGCTGTCTCCCATGTGTCTATTAAATGTACCTCTTTTTGTTTGAGTCCGATTTATATATAGTTATCTTGGGTTATCTAATAATGGGTTGTTGTTATTTTATCTAATTTGACTGCTATCGAAATTACTTCTCAGAGCTAATTTCACAATATTTACATATTCTAAGTAATCATCATTTATTGAAGGAGTCGTCTTCGATCACTCTCAAGAGATCTTCTACATATTTGTTATCTATTTTCAATTTTCAGTCTATCAGGATATCAGCATATAACCAATATTAGCTTTTTTCCGCTTCCTTAATTTACTTCTTACCAAATAGAACATCAACCCAGCAAGAAGCGAGGCCGTTGCTGTACCGACCAGCCCAAGTATATGACCTACTTACAGTGTCTAGCCTCCTGAGAGAGCTGCGAAAAATTTATGCTGTATCTCTGTAGTGTATAAAAAACGAATAATTATCCAAGTACCCTAATCTCCATTGCAATTTGTAATAATAATTTTACACATAAAAATACATGTTTATTAAGACATAATCTTCATGGAAAATTATCCGAGCGGCTCATTCTAGTCTACTAATTAGCCATATTCACACAGCTAAATATGGATATAACTTGCAAGAGGGCATCTCAGCCGCCTCCTTAATAACAAGTATTACGAGACAATCCACACAATACTATGGCTGGCCAGAATTATTAATGTGTCTAATTAGCCCCATACTTCCTTCACTGTCAAGGAAACTACTTTAACTTTGGCTCACATTAAAGTTTATATTGTTTGTTATGTCCGCTTTGATGATGACTGCTGGACGGGTCTGAGGGCTGTGTGGTGAACATGACTGCTGGACGGGTCTGAGGGCTGTGTGGTGAACATGACTGCTGGACGGGTCTGAGGGCTGTGTGGTGAACATGACTGCTGGACGGGTCTGAGGGCTGTGTGGTGAACATGACTGCTGGACGGGTCTGAGGGCTGTGTGGTGAACATGACTGCTGGACGGGTCTGAGGGCTGTGTGGTGAACATGACTGCTGGACGGGTCTGAGGGCTGTGTGGTGAACATGACTGCTGGACGGGTCTGAGGGCTGTGTGGTGAACATGACTACTGGACGGGTCTGAGGGCTGTGTGGTGAACATGACTGCTGGACGGGTCTGAGGGCTGTGTGGTGAACATGACTACTGGACGGGTCTGAGGGCTGTGTGGTGAACATGACTACCGTCCGGGAAAGGAAGGAACAGTTCAACAGAGCTTGAACAACATGAAAGCTGCTCAGGAAAGAAGAGCTGTACTGAACATGACTCGTTCCAGTCTGAGAGCTGAGCCGTACACAACACCTAGACCCACCTCATAACTACCACTCACGAAGCAGTTACGCAAGTACTTACGAACCTCTACCTCTTTTCTCAATCTTTCCCGGCTTTGTTTACATTTATTAAACAGTTAAAGAGCTTCGAAGTACCAGGAGGCGGTGTATAACAATAACAACAGGTGATTGGGAAGTTTTCATGCTTGTAAACTGTTTAGCAAATGTAAACAAATCTGTCAAAGATTGAGGTAAGATGTACACATTCGTAAGTACTTACGTAACTGCTTCGTGAATCTGGCCCCTGATATGTACAAGTTAAGTATCTCAGCAGCGAAGATGTTTCCTGATCTCACACTGAACCATTATAGACGTATTTAACACCTTTCGATTTAATATTACCTAATTTTTTATTGTTTGATATTAATTAAATCAAACCTAATTAGTCAAATCACCCGGAACAAATATAATCTAACCTAATCCTGAAAAACTGGGTTATGTTTGATGCAAAAAAAACAGAAGGGAAAGGAAAGAGAATTATTAAGGGAAAGCGCCAAGCCAATACGGCTATATAGGACTTGGAAGGGGTCAGGATAAGGATATGGGATGGGACGGGGGGAAGGAATGGTGCCCAACCACTTGGACGGTCGGGGATTGAACGCTGACCTGCATGAAGCGAGACCGTCGCTCTACCATCCAGCTCAGGAAGGTAAAGGAAAGACATATCAATATATGTGTAAATGTATTAAAAACCAAAATTTGGGATGTAACCTACATAACCTTTCCTTAGGTTAGGGGAGCCGGTCGGCCGAGCGGACAGCACGCTGGACTTGTGATCCTGTCGTCCCGGGTTCGATCCCGGGCGCCGGCGAGAAACAATGGGCAAAGTTTCTTTCACCCTATGCTCCTATTACCCCAGCAGTAAAATAGGTACCTGGGTGTTAGTCAGCTGTCACGGGCTGCTTCCTGGGGGTGGAGGCCTGGTCGAGGACCGGGCCGCGGGGACACTAAAAGCCCCGAAATAATCTCAAGATAACCTGAAGATAGGTATTGCATGCAATATTCTTCACGGAACATTGGGAATTTCCTTCACTTTCTTTCAACCACTATGGCATTGTAATAAGTTTCTCCATAACCGAAGCTGTTATTACGATATCCCAAATTCATTTTATTTCTATACCAACTGCAAATACTTCGAACCCAATCGCTATCGTCCAGCAAAAATCGCTTTTAAGTCCGCCAGACTGCATCTCAGACAACCCACTCACCTTTAATATCCTATTAGAACAATGAGTAAAAAATATACTCACTTCACTAACAGGAATAATTTAGATTTATGAACACGATGAATCTTTACTCACCTCGCGAGCCCCAATAAGGTAATAACCCCCGCTTAACTAAATTTATCCTTCAGGATATCTTGATATATGGTGGAAGGCTCCTTGCTGCTGCTGGCTAGTGAGGCTCCGGGCACTCAGGCGTTGTTATCTTGGTGGAGTGGTTATCCTGGTCATAACCCAGGCTGTTGTTATCATGGTGGGAGTGGTTATCCTGGTCATAACCCAGGCTGTTGTTATCTTAGTGGGAGTGGTTATCTTGGTCATAACCCAGGTTGTTATCTTGGTGGGAGTGGTTATCCTGGTCATAACCCAGGCTGTTGTTATCATGGTGGAAGTGGTTATCCTGATCATATCCCAGGCTGTTGTTATCATGGGAGTGGTTATCCTGGTCATAACCCAGGCTGTTGTTATCTTGGTGTGAGTGGTTATCCTGGTCATAACCCAGGCTGTTGTTATCTTGGTGGGAGTGGTTATCCTGGTCATAACCCAGGCTGTTGTTATCTTGGTGGGAGTGGTTATCCTAGTCATAATCCAGGCTGTTGTTATCTTGGTGGGAATAGTTATCCTGGTCATAACCCAGGCTGTTATCTTGATGGGAGTGGTTATCTTGGTCATAACCCAGGCTGTTGTTATCATGATGGGAGTGGTTATCTTGGTCATAACCCAGGCTGTTGTTATCATGGTGGGAGTGGTTATCCTGGTCATAACCCAGGCTGTTATCTTGATGGGAGTGGTTATCTTGGTCATAACCCAGGCTGTTATCATGGTGGGAGTGGTTATCTTGGTCATAACCCAGGCTGTTGTTATCTTGGTGGGAGTGGTTATCTTGGTCATAACCCAGGCTGTTGTTATCAAGGTGGGAGTGGTTATCTTGGTCATAACTCAGGCTGTTGTTATCTTGGTGGGAGTGGTTATCCTGGTCATAACCCAGGCTGTTGTTATCTTGGGAGTGGTTATCCTGGTCATAACCCAGGCTGTTGTTATCTTGGAGGGAGTGGTTATCCTGGTCATAACCCAGGCAGTTGTTATCTTGGGAGTGGTTATCCTGGTCATAACCCAGGCTGTTGTTATCTTGGAGGGAGTGGTTATCCTGGTCATAACCCAGGCTGTTGTTATCTTGGGAGTGGTTATCCTGGTCATAACCCAGGCTGTTGTTATCTTGGGAGTGGTTATCCTGGTCATAACCCAGGCTGTTGTTATCATTTGTTACTATTTTCATAACTATTAATAAATAATATTGTAATAATATTAATAATTTTAACAATAATAATAATTATGGTAAGTATAAAACACCGATTATAAAGTACATATAATAAAAATAATTATTATAATTATTATCAGTATAATTATTATTATTATTATATATTAAGAGAATATGTAATGAAAATAAACTTAACTGTTGGCGTCCGAGAAGTAAATGTTAAAAGAATAGGAGCAAAGAGTGAAAAGAAGAGACAGTTAGAATGTTCGAGGAGCAGTTTAAGGGCCATTAGCAGAGTGGGTAATGTTGTCAAGGGTTAATAGTTTGCCTCGTCCACCATATATATATATATATATATATATATATATATATATATATATATATATATATATATATATATAAAACTGAAAACTCCACACCCCAGAAGTGACTCGAACCCAGACAGCCAGGAGCACAATGCAACTGGTGTACATGGCACCTTAACCACTCGACCAACCGTGACTGTACAAAAGACGATGGTAGCCGAGGCTATTTCCCCCACCGTCCCGACGGCACTTGGTGGTAATCTTGGGCATAGTTATTTCATCGAATCACCTCACTTTGTGGGGCCACGTGAGCAACACAAATGCAAACAAGCTTGAATGGTCCCCAAGCATATATTCACGCATAGAAGCGTGAATATACTCCAATAAATCAGTATTAGATCCCAAACATGCCACAAGCACACCATAGCCACAAACACATATAGTAGGCATCCATCAGTCTCAGGAGACTATGGTGCTGTGCTCTGGACTGGCCTCACTAGGGCGCAAAGCCAGGGTAGGTTGATATGGAGAAGAAGCTGTTACCCAGGCAGCAGGCCCTAGTGAGGGCCTGCTGCCTGGGTAACAGCTTCTGGGTAACAGGGAAAAACATATAGCAACACCACAAACATGTAACCCCCACCACAAACACGCCTCGATGACACGCATCACAAGCTGTTCTTAGGGAAGCAAAGAGGAGAGGTCAGCTTCTGTAACCAACACAACACAAATTTAGCTTCTACACGACTTATATAAATATCAGACATGCATCCAAGATTTTAAAATACAGTCATTAGCACATTTTTAGCTAGGAACGAAGGGTCACAGACATCATAGCTTTGCTGCAGGTTAAATCAAGGGGAAATATAGCTGCGTTTTAGCTTTAGAAATCGACGGCCTTCTTGATTAAAAAGACATCAAAGGTTTAGCTGGACGAACGCGACAGTTTCAGCTGCTGCAGCTTTGCCAGCGTTCAGGGATAAAAAAGTCTCTAATTCAATCTTCGAATTGATATGTGTTGACTTGTTGTGTGTGTTGCTACAGGAGGAGCGGGAGGAGGAGAAAACCGGGATGACGAGGAGAGAAATATAAAGGTAAGAGAAAGCGGAAGATGGGTGAGAAGAATGAGCAAGATAAGGAGAAGTAGGAAGATAGGGGAGAGAAAAGAGAGACATAAAGATGAGGAGAAAGAAGGCGAGGAAGATTAGGAGAAAGATGGTAAGGGTTAAGGAGGAATAAGATGAGGAGGAGATGAAAGTTAAAGCAGCAAGAGGAAGAAGAAAGTAATGGAATGATGTAGAGGAAGAAAAAGAGGAGGATAAGTAGGAATTTGAAAGTAAAGGAAAAAGACGTAGGATAAGGACTCGGATTAAGTGAAGGAACATATGACAGAACGGAAGGTAAACAGAAAATAATAGAGGGTATAAAGAGGGTGAGAAGGAAGATAATTAGTAGTAAAAATAAGAATGATTATCAACAGGAAACAGAACAAAAGAAGTAACATCAGGAGATAGAGAAAGATAATATATATACAATGAAGGAACTGATGACACAAGGAATACAAGTGACCTGAATTATTGAAACATAAATACACTATGAATATCAATACAGTACGAACAGCATCATCATGATCATCAATGCATCATGAGCATCAATATATTATGAATATCAGACCCACATAGCATGATTTCATACCCCCAGCAGGCTAGCCACGACTTTACTCTGTACAGAACAATTTCCAACACGTGAGATCTTCCGGCCTCTCCTTATAATTTGTTCACTTCACTATCTTTGGAGAAAACCCCAGTTGACGTTAAGGAATTTGTCCGGAGGATGATCACAGAAACATCCACATCATAATTTAAATATAATATAGAAGATAAATAAGAGGAAAAGTTATATATTTGCGATTGAGCAACAACATTTGCAAATTTGAAGACGGTACGAAAATTTTATTAAACAACAGATGCCCGTCATGTGTACATACCTGTCCCACTGTATGCATATGTGTATGATGATGTGTATATGTACATATGCGTATGTAAGATTCAGAATTCCCATATCCAAGTATATTAACATATATCCCATATTGCAAGCGGGTTTGAGTGTGTATATTCAGTACACAACTCTCACCCAGTAATACATTTCAGTAATTATATTAAACCCACCCTTTCACTCTACTACCCAGATATTACTCTCTCTCTCTCTCTCTCTCTGGACGGTAGAGCGTCGGTCTCGCTTCATGCAGGTCGACGTTCAATCCCCGACTGTCCAAGTGGTTGGGCACCATTTCTTTCCCCCGTCCCACCTTCCCTGTCTCCTAGTCTCACTCCCTTCTTCCCATTTTCTCTGTCCTTCCTTCCCTCCTTTCTGTTCTCTGTCCTAAATGCCAAAATTTGTTCGAGTAACATCCAGTCAACGAAATCGACGTTGAATCTATGACGATAACAATTTTTTTTAATTAACACATTTAGGTACATCTGCATTTGTGCAGCTGCCCTAGACTATATGAAGGAGAGTACAGTGTGTCAAAAAGCTAGCTACGTGGTGTTAAAAAATCCCCATCACACAGGATGGTTAGTCATACAGAGGCATGTGATAGGCAGTCTGCACTGGCAGACTCTGGGTGCATTATGAGGATATCATCAACACAAGAGTGAATAAGGTAGCAGTGATACAAAAAGTCCCCATCTCGCAGGATGGTTAGTCAAACAAGGCCATATGTTCAGTAGCCTGCACTGGCAAATTTTGGGTGCAATATGAGGATATCTTCAAGAACACGAGAGTGAATAAAGTAATTGCAAAGCTCCAGGTACCTCATACCTCAGTTCATGCTCACAGAGTTTGCACCTGGAGTGCTCAGGATTGGGAGATCCGTCACCTGTAGCCACTTGCCACAGGTAACCCAACCTGATCCTGGCAACCTTTCAATTTATTTCAACACTCTATGGACAATGAAACACACATTTCATAATTCATAAGGGGATGATGTGATTCGAATAGGAGCAGGTCATTCTTAAAGTAACTCGTCCTCTAGAATAGTACATCGCATTTTGACATAAAAACCCCAACGACGAAAATATTACATATTGTAACTCACAGCGGTTCGCCAAATTAACGGGCTGTCACGTTTTCTATTCGCTGGTCCTTAGTTAGGTTAGGTTCGGGCAATTTTGTTCATCATTTTTTAGACAGATTGACAACTCGAGAGGACGGGAAAGTTTAAAAAAGGCAATTAGATCGACCCAAACCACCCTATGCCAGTCGCCCCCCAATCACCAATCACCGTGGAAGGTTCAGTGAGAATAGCCCCACGCCTTTGGGCTTCAGCCTCGGACAGATGTAGACAGATATATGTATATATATATAAACATATATCAGATATATGATAAAGATATATATATATATATATATATATATATATATATATATATATATATATATATATATTTACTGTCCTTAACTAATTGGTGTAATCACTTGTCTGCTCAACACTTTTTTTAATCATTGCATTAATAGTAGGAGCAAATAAAAACAGAAACAAGTTACCAGGAATTATGTTTGTGAGCCCCTTAGGAAGAAAAAAGATTTCTGAATGCTAATTAGGATTTTTAAACCCAGATTGTTATTTTATGGGTGTTATTCCGTGTTGCTGGGCAAGTTACTTTTTGTCCTATATCTCTTCCCCCGTCCCATCCCAAATCCTTATCCTGATCCCTTCCAATTGCTATATGGTCGTGATGACTTGACGCTTTCTCTTGATAGTTCCCTTCCCCTTATCTTCCTGGGCAGATCTCACCGGTAAACTATTATTTAATGTTTTAGGTACACTGTGTCAAGTTTACAGTCTACATGTTGACCAGACCATATACTAAAAGGTGAAGGGACGACGACGTTTCGGTCCGTCCAGGACCATTCTCAAGTCGATTGTGAACACAATCGACTTGAGAATGGTCCATGACGGACCGAAACGTCGTCGTCCCTTCACCTTCTAGTGTGTGGTCTGGTCAACATTCTTCAGCCCCATTATTGTGACTCATCGCCTGCTTACAGTTTACACATATTCATTTCAGTATTTTCAGGATAATGAAAGTATATACAATTTAGGTGAACGCAATACGTGTCAAAGATGACTAGAGGATAGAAAGTTCCATTACTGGGTCATGACAACGAGGTCTATAAGATGGGAACTTGAGCAGTGGAAATGAAGGGAATTATTAGCAGGAAGTGCCAAGCCATTACGACTATATAGCACTTGGAAGGGGTCAAGATAAGGATTGGGGATGGGACAGGGGGAGGGAAGGACTGGTGCCCAACCACTTGGACGATCGGGAATTGAACGACGACCTGCATGAAGCGAGATCGTCGCTCTACTGTCTACCGGCTTCTTCGAGGAGATTCATGATCACCATAGCATGAATAATTAATACATAAATCACAATAGACATACATATTAGGGGAGTCAGCGAGCACAAAGGCAGAAGCCAGCGAGGTGCGTGTCAAGAGTGACTCTCCACACACAGGTGAGGTACAGTCAGGCACAGAACTCGTGGCAAGTCCCGCCCCGGGCTAAGGACCTCTATGATTCACTCGGCCCTCTCACGCTATGTCAATACTCGGTGTGTGTGTGTGTGTGTGTGTAGCACATGTGACATACCCTGTGTGGTGTACCGCGTATCTCGGTGTTTACATTAGTTCTGGACTAGGTTCAGGACA